TGAATTCTTTCTCAAGTATCTTAATCAGAATTCTTTCTCATGTATCTTAATCGGAATAGAAGCTTTGCACCAATGCATGATGGCAGAAGGCACAATAAAGTCTTTCTTCGCTGGGAAACCGAATTCTTTCTCAAGTATCTTAATCGGAATTCTTTCTCATGTATCTTAATCGGAATAGAAGCTTTGCACCAATGCATGATGGCAGAACGCACAACAATAGAGTCTTTCTTCCCTGGGATACTGAATTCTTTCTCAAGTATCTTAATTGGAATTCTTTCTCATGTATCTTAATCGGAATAGAAGCTTTGCACCAATGCATGATGGCAGAACGCACAACAATAGAGTCTTTCTTCCCTGGGAAACTGAATTCTTTCTCATGTACATTAGATTAGACCAGATTCAATTGTTCCTGCCTTTCAAACATCCTGTCATGGTGCAAAGCCTCTATCATTACTAAATAAACACATAAACACACTTGTATAAATTATCTACAGTACTTCTATATAATAATTAAAACAAAACTTCCTAGACAGATCATAATACTACTCTTTTTACTTTAATTTCTATTAGGGAGTAGGTAATATTACTGTGATTTTTATCTCATTTTTTCCTGATCAAATTTAGAGCCAAAACCTTTGTTGGTTATAAGTTGAGTATATTGTTCACAGGTAATAGCAACAGTTCTAAAATATCCATTGGTCCAAACTTCATCCCCTCTTTACTGTATTATTCTAAGGCTACAGTGTACAAGTGCTGGGGTACGATAATAGTAGGATTTGTTGTTGTTTTTTTTTTTCATTTTTTTTGGTAAAAATCTGAGACCCTTTCTTCAAAGTATGGATATTGTTTTATGAACTGCATATGCACAAAAAGATGAAGCATTCAAACACCAACTCTGACTTATAAAGTTCTGACTCATTGAGAAGGTTGTTATTATTTCACACTTACTCTCTATTCTAAATCCTCAAAACATGTTGAGAATATGCCAAAGAATACACAATTCAAGAGTTCCAATCACATCTCTATCAATACCATTTTCAAAGTTATGATACAAAGTATAAAATATACAGACAGATTTCATTGTTATGTTTCTTCGTTGCCAGAATCTTCACTGTATTCCATGCAGTCATCATCGTCATCATCAAAATCATTCATATCATCGCCATAATCATCATCATAAAAGTCAGCAAAATCGTCACTTTCTGATTTGGTTGGTTTTGTTTTGATGCAATAATCTTGTATCGTTGTTGGGACGTGGATGCCATCTTTTTCAGCATCAAGTCTTGAACGTTGAACTTGTTTTCTTTGAAAAGAGCAAAAAGAGTCAAAGGGGTCCAGATACTGGATTGAATATGAGGTCAAAAGGGTCCAGATACTGAATGAATGGAACATGAGGTCAAAGGGGGTCCAGATACTGAATGAATGGAACATGAGGTCAAAGGGGGTCCAGATACTGAAT